GCCATTACAAGATACTGACTATAGTTCCCTGTGCTATACAGTAGGACCTTGTTGCTTATGTATTTTATATATAGTAGTTAGTATCTGCAAATCCCAAACTCCCAATTTATCCCTTCCCACCCCTTTCCCTTAAGAAGTCAGTCAATTTATGTGATGAAAATGTTACCTGCCACGTAGCTTTTCATCTGTCTTCTAGTTCAGAAGTGGACCTGCTCTCTGACTTAAGAATTTATGAATAGAGAACCCTACTGAAATTACAAGTAGAATTATTGAAAATTTACACGGTATCTCAAAACATTATGTTTCCTTTGATGACTTGAGATGCTGGGGCTTTTAGAGCCAGAAAATGAAAGCATGACGTTTTAGCTTAATTTTAACTCTACAATTTGTCTCACACAAAAATGAGCCTTCATTATCCAGGTTTTTTTGTGTTCTTTAAGAGTAAATTATATAGTTAAAAAAGTGAGAAACACACCAACATGGACTTCACAGACATTACGTTAGGCAAAAGGAATCAAACACAAAGGCTATATTCTGAAGTTAGCAAACAGACAAAACCAGCCCACGCCGATGTAAGCGAGAGTACTTTCAGCCGCTCCTAAGAAAGGACACGAAATAGTCTTCTGAGCACTCAAAATATCCCATATGTTGGTGGTTTCACTGGCACTGATGTGTAAAATTTTATTTATCAAGCTGTATGCTTGATATTTTTGTCCTTTGCTGTATGAGTTATAACTAAAAAATAAAGTAAAATAATTTTTAAAGAGTTAAGCGAAAACAAAACAAAACAAAACAAAACAAAAAACACCTGGACACAATGGCAGCTCAAGGTGACTATTTTGCAAATAATCCGTCTATAATCTGACATTATTCTGTACTATTTTAAGGAACTAAGGAAACAAAGAAAGATGATCCACAAATAGTTTGATCAACATTTACGAAACAATTGTTTTAGGTAATTAATAAACCAATTTGTTTTATAAGAACCTCAGAATGAAGAGGCATAATCTTTACTAAACCTGATTTATTTCTCAGCCATACAGAAAGCAATCTCACTGTCCAAGTTATCTGATTCTTTTTGAAGTACAGTCAGTTACAATGTGTCAGTTTCTGGTTACAGCACAGTGTCCCAGCCATGCACATACATACGCATATTTGTTTTCATATTCTTATTCATTAAAGGTTATTACAAGATATTAAATACAGTTTCCTGTGCTAGTTCTTTTTGATATTAATGCTTTGGGTCATATAGAATGTTCTATGATATATGTATTTTCATTACCTTATTGTCCACAATGTCCATATCTCATTACAAATAATTATCCTGTAACATTTGCTTGTACATATTTGCTCTGAAAGTATCTTGTGAGGAACAGGTTGATTAACATTTTCCCTTGAATATGTTTTCAGATTTTTAAACATTTTTCTGCAAAACATCAACTGTGTTGCTAAAAATGAATCTATTGGTTGTTGTGTTCTGCTGGCTGTTGGATGGAAAAAAATGTTGACAAATTATTACATTAATCTTGAAGCTGTAACTACTGTAATTTCTTTTGCAGCCATCCATTTGAAAGAAAAGAAGTATCAAGTCCCCAGATTACCAGTAAGCCAAGAACACTTGTTAACAGGTCCTGTGCACAGAGCATGCTGAACAGTTTTAGTTTATTTTCAGTTGCACGCACAATCACTGTTTTCAGTTTATTTATTTATTTTTTAACTTCTGCCCTAGAGATCTGGCACTAGATAAAGCTCAGACAGACAAGAAAACCAGGAAGTGACTGATAAAATCACACCATGGAGCCCAGAACTGAGTAAGCAGCTTACTCTCTCTATAGAGATCATAAAAATGCTCGCTCGTGGTCATTTTTGGACGAACTCTACCACTTGGCTTGGACGAGCCCCCATCCTCCTAAGCCACAGAGTTGGGCTCCCAGAGGCTGAGGTGACCATGGACCCTCTGCCCCGAGGTCTTTTCTTCTCATGGTTTATGTGCCAGCCCCACTACTCCCCACAGAACCCTCAAACTTTGGTGAATTTCTTCTTCCAGCAACCTGGGCCATATTCTCTCGCTACTGGAAACATTTTGCTCCGACGTGCAGGCATCCTGGAAAGCTGGGAGGGACTCCCCTCCAGTGACTGTTGGGTATGGGACTTTGAAATCCCAGCTCCCTCTCTCAGGTTGGAACAAATTCTGAGGTTCAACTTACCGTCCAGAGCTCCCTGTGGGCCCCAGCTGAAGTCAGCTCCTGCAGGACTTTGCCAACCCCTGCGTCCTCGCCTGGCATCCTTGCTTCCTCCTCCCGTCTCCCCACGTGTCTCCACGTCCTTAGGGTATCCCCCCAGGAGACCACCTTAATAAACCACTTTCACATAAATCTTCATCTTAAGATTGTTTCTGAACGGAGACATGACCTCAAAACCCTTATCTGTCATCTGCAACTTGGGTTTCACAAATGCTGCATCATTACTGACAGTGGGAGGGGCCTGGGAGACGCTGGCTCAGCATGACTGCATTATCTCGTTCTCTTTTCACGCTCACAAAAATTCAGTTCTCACTCCCCGCCCCCAACCCCTCCCTTTCACACGTTCAGCTGTCAACTTCTTTTTTTTTTATATATATAATTGAAGTACAGCCAGTTACAATGTGTCAATTTCTGGTGTGCAGCACACTGTCCCTGTCATGCTTATACATACACATAATCATTTTCATATTTTTTTGATTAATGGTTATTACAAGATAGTGAGCATAGTTCCCTGTGCTAGACAGAAGAAACTTGTTTTTGTTTTTTGGATTTTTTAAATCTATTTTTATGCATAGTGGCAAACATCTGCAAATCCCAAACTCTGGGCTATCATCTTGATGTTAGTGCCGAATCGCACGCACCTGCACAGTAAATTGCATAGACTCCAAAAAGGCCTTTGGTGCGAAAACGCTGGAACCGTAAACTGCCTACTTTACCTCTGGCGGGTGGGGCAGAAACACAGATCCTTCCAATCAGGTCTTGCAAGCCCCGGGCCATTACCAAACAGCGTGGCTGGCTGAAATACACGGCAAATCCTCGCTTCCTGTGCATTTAAAATATACACAGTAAAGAAGCAAACTAGACCTTGTGCCCCAGTTTTCACTCCGTGTGCATAATTGCGTACGTGATGGTGAAAAATACTTCAACACTCACTCATAAGGACTGATCCTGGATTCACAGTATTCCTTACGACAGATGACTGGCTGCCAATTTGTGCTTTACTAAGCCCAGGAGATCTTCTTCAACAATCTTGTTTGCAATTTCTCACATCAAAAGAGAATTGTTATTTTTGTACTTCCTTTTAAAATCCTGGAATAATAGCAGGGGAATAATTGGATGTGTTAGTGTAAATAATTCAGGTTCTATTTTTGTCAATATGTTTTAAAATAATCAGCTAATCAAGTAACTGTTAAATCCAGGAGGTTACAGATGTAGCACGCTTAAAGACAGCACACAGAACCAGGGCCATCCTCCTCAATATATTGCTTTTTCCCTCACAGCTCAAGGATTAAAACAAAACTAGTTAGTTGAGTCATTAACACTACTACAAACTACTTTTCTGAAGAGTGAGTTCTTGATCATTCAGGGGACCATTCTTGTTCCCTGTTTCCGACCCCTGGCCATGAATATGGGGTGACAGTGACGTCAAAGCCTGGGAATGACTGACTCAATAAGTGGCCCCCAGTGCTTGGTCTTGACGGAGCTGGGTCTCCACCCATGGGCTTTGGTTATAGGAATTCAGGAACGGCTGCCAGATCCCTGCTCTGGATCTCCTCAAGTCCTTCTCCTATGATGTACCTGACTTTTGTGGGGAGGGTGTCTGTGTCTTCTACCAGATTCCCAAATGGGCTCATGTGCAGAATTTGGCTAAAAGTCCCTGCAATAGAATGTCCTGGTTTTGCTCACCCAGGACACAACCTTGACCACCCGCCTCTAGCCATGTCAGCCTCAGGGCACCAGGTGAGGGGCACTGATGTTCACCTTGCTGCAAGCCCCTGGAGGCAGCTTGGGACTGCAAAGGCAACCCACATCTAGGCCACCAGAACAGCTATGAAACATACACACTGCGCGGTCATGCTTTCTCCATTGTTCTCAGCTGGACCGTAGAAATGATGGCAGAATGCAGAGCAGCAACAAAGAGTTCTAGCATCAAGCCAGAGAAAGTTAGGAGCGTAGGTGGCTTGGAACAGAACAGTAGATGTAAGATATAAAAAGTTGTCAGATTCTGGATGAGTTTTGAAGGCAAAGCCAACAGAGTTTGCCAACGAGTCGATGTGGGGCGTGACAGAAGACAGTCAGTCGGAGGTCGGGCTTGAGTCTGATCGCCTGGTGAAGGGGTTGCCATCAGCATGTGGGGAGCGCCGTGACAGGAGCACATCGGGGTGGGGGGATCTGGAGTTCTGTCTTTGATACATTATGTTTGAGATGCCAGTTAGACATCCAAGAGGAGACACACGGGAGAGGTTCAGTCTCGACATACACATTTGAGTCACTGACTGATGAATGGATAAAAAATGGTGTATGTGTACAATGCGGCATTTATTACTCAGCATAAGAGGAATGAGATAATGCCATTTGCAGCAACATGGGTAGACCTAGAGAGCATCACATCACGGTAAGTCAGACAGAGAAAGACAATATCATATGATATCACTTATATGTGGAATCTAAGGAAAAAAAGATACAAATGAACTTATTCACAAACCGGAAACAGACTCACAGACATAGGAAACAAACTGTGGTTAGCAAAGGGGGAAGGGGGGAGGGATAATTTAGGGGTTGAAATTAACAGACACACACTACTATATATAAAGTAGATAAACAACAAGGTCCTACTGTAGAGCACAGGGAACTATATTCAGTACCTTGTAATAGCCTAGAATGGAAAAGAATCTGAAAAAGGACATATATGTGTGTATAACTGAATCGCTTTGCTGTAACAGCTGAAATTAACACAACATTGTAAATCAACTACACTTCAATACGATTTTTTTTTAATTTGAGTTGTTACAATATAGTTAATATGGAAAGCCATGAGACTCTTCGAGATCACCAAGAAAGAGAAGAAAATAAAAAAATGAAGACATCCAAGCACAGAGCTCTGGGGTCTCCAAGTATAAGGAGTGGAGATGATGCAGAGGAACAAGAGGACCTGGGTGAGGAGGAGCGGCCGCTGAGACAGGAGGAGGCCCGGGAGCATGTAGGGTCCTAGGAGCCAAGTGCGGTGCAGTGTCATTTTTAAAGATGGCCCCGGCACTACCTCCCTTTACAACGTGCTGCTAATACCGCTCTATTGGGAGGTGGGGCATGAAACTGTGACTCCCAAGGCTCGATGGTAAAAGGCAAGGTGATACAGTTTTTGCCTGGCCCCCTCTCTTGGGATACTTGCAAGGTCCAAGGATGTAAAGAAACTGTCTACTCTACTGGGGATGCTGCAATGCTGGGGAGACCACAGACAGAGAGAAACAGAGACAGAGAGACTCCCGAGCACCCCAAGCGCACCAGCCCCTCAGTGTCTTCCCCGCCCGGGCACCAGGCACGTGAGAGAAGGAACCTCAGCCGATTCCAGCCCTTGGCCGCTGAGGCCCCCCAGCTGATACGGAGTGAAATAGAAACCAGTTGTCCCCACCAAGCCCTGTCCAGTGTGCAGATTCCTGAGAAAAATAATTGTGTGCATTGTTGTAAGCTTTTAAATTTCGAGATAATCTGTTACACTGTACTAGCAACGGGAACATCAAGTGAAGACAGACTCTCAAAGAGAAGCAAGTTCTCCCTCATGTCAAAGGCTGCTGTAGGCAAACTAAAAGGATGGCTGAGAACTGATCGCTGGGCTGATCCTTTAAAACGCACGGGAAACCTTGAAAGGTGGTGAGCTCAGGGCTGAAATGGAGTGGGTTTAAGAAAGAATTGGGATTGAACTGTAGATGGCGGATAATGACAACTCGTTCAAGGAGTTTTGCTAAAAAGTGGGTTTGTGAAATGGGGCAGTGGCTGGAGAGAAAAGTGGGGTCGGTGGGGGCTTTGGTGGATATGGGAGCTGAGAGAACATGTGTGGGTGGGAAGGATCCAGTAGAAAGGGGGAGATGGATGACGAACAGAGGAAGGAGAACACTGCTGGAGCCAGTTCCACAGAGATAAGAGGGTCTGGCATTTGTGTCTCCCTGCACAGGTGGAGCAGACGGCTTAGCTGCAGCATGGACGGTTCACTCACAGTCACAGAAGGGAAGGGCGTGGATTCAGGAAAGTGGATGAACACAGGATAAACGCAGGTAATTTCTTGCCTGCTTGCCTCCATTTTCTTCGTGGGAGAGTGAGTGGGCTGGGCAGGGCAGGGCGTGGGCTTACCGAGCGGCATTAGGAACTCACTCGAGGCTCAGAATCATGGATTTAAAGGGATTCCAGTTAGTGTGGGTATGCTCCTGTCCAGCCACATTCGGTGGCCCGGCTGCAAGCACAAAGTTGGTGGCACACTGGACTTAACCAGGGTTATGGTGTTGCCAAGAGAAAAGAAGGAGGGAAAAGGAGGCTGAGGGTCTGTGCAAGGGAGTGGTGACACCGACTGGTTGCGGAATTAGACAGGGGAAAGGGGAAAGGAGAGGTGTGTGGGGTTGAGGGGCAGCAAAGGCTCAGTCGGATCCACAGATTGTACGTCTTCATAGAGTTCAAGGATAGCTTGAGCTCAGAGACCTCAATGGTCCCCATTCTGAGGATGAAGACTTCCACTTAGAGAGATGAGATCACCTTGCAAGTAAAGCAGCAATGGAGTGGCCAAGCTGGGATGCAAACCTAGGCAGTCTCACTCCTATAATGGTGAGAATATTTTCACAACCTGACTTCTGGTTGGAAAGAAAGGAGAGGGGAAAAAAAGAGCAATCAGTGTTGATAGTCACCAAGGATCCCAAACACCAGATCTGAAGAAATCGCAGGGAGAGAGCCCTCAATCCTGAAAGCGTGGCTTTACATCCTGAGTGATAATGTACTGTGTGCTTCTTGAAAGATTTGTGCTTATTTTTCATGGAAATCAGCTTTTAACTGAGTTCTCTTTAGAACAGGGCTACAGCAGAAGAGCCTGCAGATGGGTGCAGAAACTAGAACTGGTCATTTCGGTCTATCTTGTGTGACTGGTACATGCATCCTTCCCCACTGAGGTATTTCCTGCAGCCCAGGGAAGATTTCATCAAAGGAAGCCTGTGTTGGAATTACATCATGATCCCGATTGTTTAAAGCTTCAATTATAGCCAATTAATTATAATGAGAGCCAGGGGCTCGCTATTTTGTCCCTTATGAGATATTCTGGCGAATGGTGTCACCACACAGCTATGACAGGATATTTGTAAGAGGAAGTTTTGTAAGAGGAATTGGACAAGGCCGGCATCACGCCCGCAGCTGTATTTGCAATATCATTTCCTGCTGCTGATTGTCCTGTAATTCTGGTCGTTCAGCAGCTCTGGCGTTGGCGATGTGTTTATTTCCAGAGGAGGTGGTTTGGGTGGGGAAGGAGAGGGCTAAGACGCTGTTCCTTGTGTGTTTAAAAGGGCAGGTTAGCCTGAAGGCAATTCTCTTCTCTTTCTTTTTGCTTGCAGAGAGAGAGAAAGAAAACAAAACAAAACATGGGTAAGTTCTATGATTTAGAAGATGAGTATATTAAAATAATTTGCTGTACACCTGAAACTAATACAACATTGTATATTAACCATACTTCAACTTTAAAAATGGTTAAAAAATAATTTGAAGAAAATTAGGTCACTCAAAAGAAAAATAAGATCGTAGGGTAGGAAGAATTTTTTCTACCCATTGCTTGGACCATATTTTTCCCACTTCACCCCACAGCCTGACCCCTAACCCCACCCCCACTGGGACTTTTGGGACCTCCCATTATCCAAGGCACAAGAAAAAGAACATAAGTTCTGGCTTCAGAAAGACCTGAGTTTTTATCTGCTTTCTATCTACCAGTGAGCAGCCTCGAGCAGATAAGGCTCCCTGAGCCTCAGTTTTGTTCCCCATAAGGTGGGGATGGTACCGCCTCCTTCGTAGGGCGGTTCCTGAAGCTTGAGTGAGATAAAGGATGAAGGCATCTGTATGCTCCCAGCTGGAGCCTCTTGCTGCTGCTCCTCCCCAGCCTGTCCTTTGA